AAAACATTTGCTCTGTTCCAGACCTGCAAGAATCTACCTGAGTTTTTTATATTTTATTGGGAAAATCGTAAATATTAAAAAATTGTACATTATTGCAAATTTGGAACGGTGCAATTATTTTAAACTCATTGTTCAGAAAATGAATTTTATTACCAATCCCCACTTTTCTAGCGGCAACACTTTTACGTGCGCCTAAGAGTATGCTTTAGAAAAACAATTAAAATTGGATTAACAAAGTTACCACATAAATATGACTCAAAACTATGCGTCTGAATGTGTGTGCCCCGCATTAAAACAGCTATAAATTAAACAACTACTTGAAAATGCATCTAATTAATTTTTCCTCTAAGCTCAGCCACAAATTTCCCCCCAGTCCAACAACAATTCGACTCTAACTCTCTTTACCACAAAATACAAATTTTCCATGCACTTCACAGCGTGAATATGCCAACAAATGGTATAAGGGGCGTAGTAATGTCGCCGTTTTCATTTTGGATTGGAAATCTTTTGTGTTGGAAAATATGTAAAAGGAAGAATTTTTGTGAACATTTCTGAGGTAGGCACTAGTGGGTAAGCAACGTTCGTCTTTCTGCTGTAATCTTTCGAACGAATTGAGATAGAAGGCTAAAATTTTGCACTTTAATGACTTAACGGTACTTTAATGACCCTTCGGAATTGTTTCAAATGTCGTATTTGAGGATCTTAATGGGTGCTACAACCTATGACAAAAAATGGTATATGCAGGCTCACGTCTTCGTATAGCCCCCATATTACGGTACCTTCCAATATTTGTAATTTTGATGATTTTAAGAAGAGACATAATGTAGAAATTCGTCGGTACTACAGCCTATGACAAAAAACAAAAACTTACGTCTTCTAATAAGACCCATATAGCGGTTTTTATTTAAGCGGTATTTTTTGAATGTTCAAAGAAAATCCCAAATTTTTTAGCACCAACAAAATGGTTCTGACTTTCATTAAAAATAGCCGAACTTTGTATTCCTTCCCAATATGAAATCTTGGAATACAACCAAATCGACTATCCTCAAAATCCATTTCTTTGGATTAGTGGGTTATACCTACATTGAATATTTTTTAGAGGAAGTTATTTTTTTCGAAAAAAAAAAAACAAAATCGTGCACATATAATAATTATTTTTAGCTAGGATTTCTTTGGAAATTCGGACAAAAAACCATGACATTCGGAAAATCCGAAGATACCGAAGACCCATCTAAAAGTTGGCGAACTTAACTTTTCACTGAGAATCTGAAATGTCAAACCAGTAAGGAAAGGACAAATATCGGGCGAGACCGATAGTATGATACCCCATATATTTAGAAGAGCTCCCGTAACAAAAATAGTTTATACCGGGTGAGATACTCAAACGCCATCATTTTTTTTTATTTTTTTAAATTTTATTGAATGAAAGCAAACAATGTCAGAAATAGAATCAAATTTTAGAATAAGTTGAGGTTTGTTTGAATTGGTCACTTTTGGCACGATATATGGCCTTCAAACGGCCAATGGAATCGTCACACGCTGCCCGAATGTTCCTCTGCGGTATTTTTGCTAATTCCCGGCAAAGCGCTTGCTTGAGGTGATCGAAACTTTGGTATTTTTTAGTGGCAACATTGCTTTCCAAAATACTCCGGACACAATAGTTCAACGGATTGATATCTGGAGATTTTAGTGGCCATTGTACGCTGGAAATGAAGCGAGGAAGCTTATTTTGGCACCGTTCTTGGGTGGCGCGTGCTGAGTGCGATGGTGCTGAGACCTGTTGGAATGTCCAAGGTCTGCGGCCAAAATGTTTGCGTGCCCAAGGCGATAATATCGGCATTTATTCTGATGCTACGGTCGATTAATACGAGCGGAGAGCGACCATCGGCTATTATGACGACCCACATCATCACCATGGCCGGCGCTTGAGTTCTGGTGGCCAACCGAAGATGCACATTTTCAGCTGACCTCTTTTGCAAGTAAACGCGATCATATTGTTTGTTTACAAACTGCTGGACAACGGAGACGGAGAAAACCAAATTCCACAATTCATTACCTTCGGCCAAGCGAAATCAACTCTTTAGCTCTTTTGAGTCTATTTTCTTTCTGTTACTGTGTAAGTTCTTACTCTTTTTGGAATTTCAATGGTTCTACCCCGAACTCATTTTTCAATATTTGTCGAATGGAATATTGCGATATGTTCAGCTCACGAGCCATTTTTCGGCCACTGCGACACGGTTTTCGATCAAGTCGCTTCTTTACTTTTCGAACCATTTCTGCTGATGTTGCTGTTTCTTTCGTTCACTTCCTTGACGTCGGGCTACGCTACCAGTATCACAGTAACGAGCGATGATACGAGACACAAAAGATTTATTCACATTTAAATGCTGGAGTGCTCTAACGATAGCCACTTGTGATTTTCAAGCCAAATATAAAGAAATCACACTATCACTCTTGAATTCCATCACGAATAACTTTTTTTCTGGAAAATTCTCACCAAAATATTTTTGCACGCTTGTAAACAATATAATGAGCTGTAACTAGAATAATTTTAATAGCTATCGGTGTGAAGTTGGTTGCAGTTTTTTCATCTAACTCTGTATGTAAAATAATGGATTAAAACAGCTTTGTCATAAACTGACAAAGTTTCGGTAAGATAGAGAAACGTCTCAGCCATACGGTTACAGATGGTATATATAATTTGATACGACCCTAATCCCAACTTAACTCCGTTCGAGGACATTGGGTCCGATTTAGGGTTGTCCGTCCGTCAATATTCATATTAACACAAGATCTGTTGTGAAGGTGGGATATATCCCTGTACTAATTCTGGTGCCTCCCCCACAACGAGTCAAAATTCTGAATAGCCATGAAGCTCTTAAAACGTGAAATTAGTACCCGATTCCAATCAAGCTCGGAACATCTTAATATTTGTATCAAATCAAGATCCGGTACCTCTCCCACAAAGGGTCAATATTTTTATACCCTCCACCTTGGAAAGGAGGGTATATTAACTTTGTCATTCCGTTTGTAACATCCTTAAATATTCATCGTAGACCCCATAAAGTATATACATTCATAATCAGCATAAAATTCTAAGTCGATTTAACGATGTCCCTCTGTCTGTCTGTTGAAATCACGTTACAACCCTCATTATTTGACGTAGAGCGCCAAAATTTAGCAGAGCAATTTGTATTGTGTCTAGGATGGTTGGTATTGAAAATGAGATATATCGGTCCACGTTCCGGTATATAGTTGTTGGTCATAACGGGTCCCTGTGCGTGTGGCAAAACATGGCATGTATAGGTCCACGTTTTGGTATAGCCCCCATATAACGGTAACTCCCGATATTCGGTATTTTGATGGTTTTTGCCACATTTTTTCACTGATTTGTCTAAAAATTGGTATTTGTGGGTCATAATGGGCCCTAGGTCGTGTGGCGAAACATTGTATGTATAGGTCCACGTTTTGGTATAGTCCCCATATAAGGGTACCTCCCAATATTCGGTATTTTGGTGATTTTTGACACATTTTTTCACGAATATCTCTTAAAATTGGTAGTTGTAGATCATAATGGGTTCTAGTTTGTGTGAAGAACATTGAAATTATAGGTCCACGTTTTGGTATAGCCCCAATATAATGGTACCTCCTGATATTCGGTAATTTGATGATTTTTGCCACATTTTTTCAAGGATTTGTCTGAAAATTGCTATTTCTAGGAAAATTGGTATTTCTAGGTCTAGCTCCTTTGGCGAAACATTGCATGTGTCGGTCCACGATTTGGTATAGCCCCCATATAACGGCACCTCCCGATATTCGGCATTTTAATTGTTTTTGCCACATTTCTTCTAATGTTTCCTTTACCCTAAGGTGAAAATTCCACATGTCCCTACTAAAAGAATATCTTGTGTGAAAATAGTATAAATGAGACCACTCCTTCAGATATAAAGATGAAACCTTCTGGTACCCCTCCCACCAAGTGTAGCAATTTTCAATAATTATATTTCTCCTAACATGCGAAACGATGCTTCTCAAATATTTCCTCAAACAGAGATCTTATATGAATATGAAATTTATCGGCCAACTCCTTCTGGCCAACTAAAATTCGGATGAATCCGGCAATTTTCTTCAAACTTCTAATAAAATAGTCATAGTAACATACCCAACAAATTTCTAACTTGACGTCATCATGTAAAGGAGTGATTGTGATGAAAGTAAAATTATTATCAATTAAACTGTTTATACACATTTATAAAAAAAGCTTACGGTTTTGTTGACGTCGTTAATTAAAAAATTTGTTAATAAGTACAATTTAACTCCCACTGATAATAATTGCTTTCATGTCCACATTTCTAGATGTATTCTCTAAATTCCTAAAAATAATGATGTTGTCTCATGAATAAATAAAATTAATTAGATTCTGTAGAAAGTCAACATATTTTCGAAAATTTCCTCTCAGCTACCCCAAATTTGACCAGGGACTAATAATCTGTATTTTGGATTTTTGTTTTTAATTTTCTTCACCCACTGTGCGAAGCAACTGTAAGTCCTTTCTATGCTGCAATGTTTTATTGTGGGAGTATGTTGAGATGTCACATAAAGTTCAATTCACAGAAACAGTATGTATTATTTAATCATTTTCTACCCCCGTCTAAGCATAACTTTAATTAATGGCAATAATTTTAGAATTTACTTGCCACTGGAAATTTTAAGTACCAACTAATTTATGAATGTCTTTTAAAGCGATAAAAATTGTGGGTTTTATGTCAAAGATTTTGCAGAATATCATTTCGAAGAAAACTTTCCATACAAAATGCCATACATTTTTACAAAACAAAGTAAAGATTGTCTCTTCAAAAAAATAAAAATTACCAGCCACCAACACATATGCTGGGCCATTAATTGTCTAAGTGATGTCATATAAAACCATTCGCCGCACATTTATATTCCACCCTGCGATTCAATTGACAAATAAAATGTTTATTATTTTGCCACTGAATTGTTCGATTTTAACAATTAATTCGGTTAGAATAAAATTAGCTGTCAGTAATATTTTCACGTTGGCCGAAGGTAGATCTTGCCTCCCAAAAAATCTAAGTAAATAAATAAACAAAAGCCCGACAATGTCTTGTTGTTTAGAATTTCTCACAACTCTGGGGGCAATTGTTTTGCTTTATTTCCTCTATGAATGTTTAAAATCACCGGTTAAGCTGCTTTACTATCAATGGCTTGAAAGGGAAAAGAAATTACCACCTCTGACAGATAAATATGGCAAATGGGCTGGTAAGTATTCGAATACGCGAAAAAGTTGTATTACTAGGTAGTACAACAGAGAAAAAAATAATGAAAGGACTCTTTATACGGAGCAGGAATGAGAAATAAGTCAAAATGTATTTGCCATATCTTTCAAAAATTAGGAGATTTTTGGAATCCGGTTCTACACACGAATAATCTCATGAAATAAATATGAAGAAACTGTCATAAAAATATGCGTTTTAGGCGACACCTCGCCTCCTTCGTTGAAACCCCTATCACGTTTTGTCAGTATCATCATATTAACATGACATTACTCGTGTTTGGATCGGGTGTATTTTAATTCTGTGTTACTGTTTTTTTAACATTTTAATTTTAGCCATAACAGGTTCTACAGATGGCATTGGCAAGGCCTACAGCCGAGAATTGGCACGCAAAGGATTTAACATTGTTCTAATTGCAAGAAATGAAGAAAAGTTGAGACAAACGGCCAAAGAAATTGGTAAGAAAATGGAGGCCAAATCGTAATAATCGTTTGCCTGTCCTTGAATGAATTCATAATTATTTGAAATTCACCTGATTCAATTTTGAAGATTAAGTTATCCTTGAGTTTTTTTTAATAGAACAGGATTTCGGAGTAGAAGTTTCCACTATCAAGGCTGATTTTTCTCATGGAGCAGTAATATATGATAAACTATTTCAGGACCTGGAAAAGAGGCCAATACGGTTATTTGGTAAGTTAAATTGTTATTGGTATCAAATCATTTGTATGGCAGACAAGTATAAACACGTACAAATAAGATCAACAGTTTTTATGTCCCATGTCTGTACCTTTGTATCCTAATATAATCATTTTTATCTTTAAAAAGATTGATAATGGTCTCAAAATACCGAAAAATCTCACGTCACCGGTATTTGAAGCCTGTATAAAAATTGGGACCCCGTATTTATCATTGGGTAAAATTTTACCCCAGATAGGGTGGTATCCTTGACCATTCGGGAAAAAAATGAGAAAGTCAAATTAAATTGGACAGGGAAATAAATCAATTTTCGTTTTTTTAATCAATTTATTATCTTGTCCGAATATTACCAAGTTCAGAGTTCACTGATATTTTAAGAGTTAAAGATTGGTTCTCCATTTCCGCCCCTTTGCTTCTCATACACTAAACCATGAAATTACTCGAAAATTGCCAAAATGACTTGGGATTTGGTGTGTTTCACGTTCGTATCTCTTCAAAATCTCTCCAAAAAGGACTTAAATTCAATGGCATATAATGGAAAATATCATGTAGAGGTCAAAAGGGTTCCTTATAGTTTTGCGTATGAAAAGTCCATCTGCCGAGTTGGTGCCAACGATACTTTTTGATGGAAGTATCCAAGTTTAGTTCTATTTAAATTATCGAATTCGGAGATGGAGTGATCGGTACACTTTGTAAATAGTCATATATCTGATATAAGCCTATTCGATACAGGCTAAACCTTGAACTTTGTGCGAAAATATACAATTTTTGAACCTTTCTCCGATAGCTTTCCCTAAAAGGATACCTTTTAATTATCGTAACAGAGTCGTTCGCTAGATCTAATAAGCAGAAGGATGAGATGAAAAAAATGCAACGAATTTCAGACTGCTGTCATTTCTAAGCCACTTGTCCGACAGCTGTTACAATTATTCCAGTGATAGCTCATTATATTGTTTACCATCGTACAAAAGCATTTTGGTGATAATTTTCCAGGAAAAAAAGTTATTCGTGATGGAATTCAAGCGTGATAGTGTGATTTCTTTATATTTGGCTGGAAAACCACAAGGGACTATCGTTAGAGCACTCCTGCATTTAAATGTGAACAAATCGTTTGTGTCTCGTACCATCGCTCGTTACCGTGATACTAGTAGCGTAGCCCGACGTCAAAGAAGTGGATTGAAAAAACACCAAAATCAACAGAAATGGTTCGAAAAGTAAAGAAGCGACTTGATCGAAACCCGCGTCGCAGTGGCCGAAGAAATGCTCGTGAGCTGAAGATATCGTAATATTCCATTCGGCAAATATTGAACAATGAGATCGCCATTGAAATTCCAAAAAAATGCAAGAACTTAGAAAAGAAAGAAAATAGACTCAAAAGAGCTAAAGAGTTGCTTCGCTTGGCCGCAAGTGGTGAACTGCCGAAATTGGTTTTCTCCGATGAGAAAACATTCGTTGTCCAGCAGTTTGTAAACAAACAAAATTATCGGGTTTAACTTGCCAAAGAGGTCAGCTGAAAATGTGCACCTTCGGATGGCCACCATAACTCAAGCGCCGGCCATGATGAATAAATGCCGAATATTATCGCGAAAATATTCTGGAGGGTGTATTAAAGCCTTGGGCATGCAAACATTTTGGAAAGGACTTCTAGAATGGATTTTTAGACAAATCCATTGAAAAATGTAGCTAAAATCATCTAAATACCGAATATAGGGAGTTTGATTATGGTCCATAAAAATGTTTTCTTTACCCATTGGTGAAGGATATAAGAAGTTCGGCCCTGTCGAACTTAATGTCTTTTTACTTATTTCTTTTTCAATTTTTAATATCTTCCAATTCATGTTATTATATCTTTCCATTAACGCTTTCAGTTAACAACGTCGGAATTGGTCACAATCCACCCGGTATTATTCCCACCTACGATGCCCAGCATCTGTGGGATATGATCCATGTGAATATTGCTGCTGTCACTCAGCTATCTCGACACTTTGTCAACTTATGGTTACGGCAGGGTGTAACAGGATGCCTTGTGAATGTATCCTCAATACTGGAAATGCAACCCTGTCCTTATGGTTCAGTTTATGGTGCTACAAAAGCCTACATCACAAGTTTTACAAAGGCCCTCCAACTCGAAGTTGAATCGTTTGGCATCAACATCCAGTTGTTATCGCCGGCTGGGGTTAGAACCAAAATCAATAAATATTCTTCGTGGATATTGAAGGGGAATCTAATAGTTCCCACGGCCGAAGATTATGCCAAATGGGCTGTTAATACGCTTGGTAAAACCAGGGCCAGTACTGGTTACTTTTGGCATGGTATTCAGGTGAGTGGAGAAGGATTTTTTTAAAGACTGTATTAGTAATGAATGCATATTTTTTCTTGCAGACAATGGTTTTGAAATTGATGCCTACCCGATGGAGAAGCGAATTGATAATAAAGTTGGCTAAAATAACTGTTGATGATACAACAAATATTAATGAACATGATATAAGAAGAAAATATGGATTATCACAGAAACTGTGATCGTTTTCATCTCAAGTAAGATAATTGGTTTTAGCTTCTTATCGGTTCATGGTGGGTAAACCTTAATACGGACATAGTAATGGTTATGTATGTATAAATACGTTTTAACGATAATATTTAAGTAGAACCAATAAAACTTGTATTGTTTTGAAATAATAACTCTTGTTGATTCCCACTGGGAAATGACGATCAAATTCTAAACCAAGAGGAAGGAACGTTCTCATATAAATTAGGGTATAAAAAGTAAAAGCACCATTATTATATGGCGATACAAGATACAATGTCTGCACCCTGTTAATGTTATTATTTTAATTGCCAGAATTTTTAATGACAAAAGTAATATGGAAACGTTGTATTTAATTTATTTGCTTTTGAAATGTCTTGCTTCTATTATCAATATTTTTGATCGATGTCGTAAATTCAATAAACTTTACAATTTTTATACCATCCACCATATATAGTATGGAGGGTATATTAAGTTCGTTGTTCCGTTTGTAACTCATCGAAATAATAATTGGAGACCTAGCAAATTATATATATTCTTGATCAGCGCAACACTCTACGACGATTTAGTCCTATCTGTCTTTCAAGAAGTTAAAAGAGTCAAAACCAATTAAGATAGGAAGCTAAAATTTTGGATAGATCAGTCTTTTCAGTCCACAATATTATATAGCTCCATATAACGGTGCCTCCCGATATTCGGTATTTTTATGATTGTAGCCAATTTTTTTCAATGGAATTGTCTGAAAATCCACACAAGGAGTTCCTTCTGAGTACTTTACCCCCTGTAAGAGTATTGTGTGTCCACGTACGTACTGTATTGTCCACGATATCGTATATCCCCATGAAAGTGTACCTCCCCATATTCGGTATTTTGATGATTGTAGCCAAAATTTTCAATGGAATTGTTTGTCAATCCACAAGAAGTTCCTTCTGAATTCTTCACCCCTAGAAGAGTATTGCTTATAAAGGTCTCCATATATTCGGTATTTTGATGATTTTAGCTACATTTTTTAATCGGATTGTATGAAAATAATTGTCACAATATCATATAAGCTACCTACAACGGTACACCCTGATATTCGGTGTTTTGATGGCATATTTGATACATAAATTTCATATTTGAAGTTACAAATGGGTACTACAGTCAATGACAGAAAATTGTCTATGCAGGTCCAGATCTTCGTATAGCCCCCACATATCGGTACCTCCCCATATTCCGTATTTTGATGATCTTAGGAACATTATTCGCCGGAATTTTTTCAAATTTCGTATTTCAAGTCCCTAATGGGTACTAGAGTCTATGACAAAAAATTGTCAATGCAGGTCCAGGTCTTCGTATAGGCCCCATGTATGTAACGATTTTAGCTAAATTATTCACTGGATGTTTTTTTTCAAGTTTCGTATTTGAATATTGTAATAGCATATGACAAAAGTTGCCCGTCTTCGTGTAGACCCCAACATAACATTTTTAAGATTTTAACAGGATTTTTAACAAATTTTATTTATTTTTCGGAATTTCCAAATTAGTTCCAAATAGAGGAGGGTACTTAAAATTCGACCGAACATACTGCTTTGTTAATTGTTTTTTTATACTCTCCACCTTGGAAAGGAGGGTATATTAACTTTGTCATTCCGTTTGTAACATCCCTAAATATTCGTTTTAGACCCCATAAAGTATATATGTTCATAATCAGCATAAAATTCTAAGTCGATTTAACGATGTCCGTCTGTCTGTCTGTCTGTCCGTCTGTCTGTCTGTTGAAATCACGATACAGCCCACATTATTTGACGTAGAGCTCCAAAATTTAGCAGAGCTATTTGCATTGTGTCTAGGATGGTTGGTATTGAAAGAGAGATATATCGGTCCACGTTCTGGTATAGTCCCCATATAACGGTACCTACCGATATTCGGTATTTTGATGATTTATGCCACATTTTTTCACGGATTTGTCTTAAAATTGGTATTTGTAGGTCATAGCGCGTCCCTGAGCGTGTGGCAAAACATTGCATCTATAGGTCCACGTTGTGGTATAGCCCCCATATAAAGGTACCTCCCGATATTTAGTATTTTAGTTTTTTTTACCACATTTTTTCACCGATTTGTCTAAAAATTGGTATTTGTGGGTCATAATGGTTTCCAGCTCCGGTGGCGGAACATTGCATGTATGGGTCCATAATTTGGTATAGTCCCCATATAACGGTACCTCCCGATATTCGGTATTTTGATGATTTATGCCACATTTTTTCACGGATTTGTCTTAAAATTGGTATTTGTAGGTCATAGCGGGTCCCTGAGCGTGTGGCAAAACATTGCATGTATAGGTCCACGTTGTGGTATAGCCCCCATATAAAGGTACCTCCCGATATTTAGTATTTTAGTTTTTTTACCACATTTTTTCACGGATTTGTCTGAAAATCGGTATTTGTTGGTCATAATGGGTTCCAGCTCCGGTGGCGAAACATTGTAATTATAGGTCCACGTTTTGGTATAGCCCCCATATAACGGTACCTCCCGATATTCGGTAATTTGATGATTTTTGCCACATTTTTTCAGGGATTTGTTCGAAAATTGGTATTTGTTGGTCATAATTGGTTCCAGCTTCGGTGGCGAAACATTGCATGCATGGGTCCATGATTTGATATAGCCCCCATATAACGGTACCTCCCGATATTCGGTATTTTGATGGTTTTTGCCCCATTTTTTCACTGATTTGTCTAAAAATTGGTATTTGTGGGTCATAATGGGTTCCAACTCCGGTGGCGAAACATTGTAATTATAGGTCCACGTTTTGGTATAGCCCCCATATAACGGTACCTCCCCATAATCGGCATTTTAATGGTTTTTGCCACATTTCTTCTAATGTTTCTTTTACCCTAAGGTGGAGGGAATTAAAAGTTTGGCCCGGCCGAACTTAATGTTTTTTTACTTGTTTTTCTTACATTGTAAGAAGGGTTTTCATTTTATTCTTGAAATCTACACCTACCAACAGCAACGTATTTTCGATAACTACAAATCTGCATCACTGTTTATCATGGACACAAACCCATGTCAACTTTTTGTTAGAGCTTTTGTCTCAACATACACAAGCAAAATAACAAACTTATCGATAACAAGAATCATCGTCCAGCCATCCGTTACAAAAATATAAGCTATAATTTTTTTCAAATATGAAATGAATATATCGGTGACCGACAATATATATCAAGTTGCCAAACACCTTCAAATGACAAAAACATAATAGAGATGTAGATTTTCTACAAGAATGATAAATATCACGCTAATGCACAAAAATAATGAGGCAAGCAAGTACGAATTGATGAATTTAAATACGATAATACTTACTTCCAAATCCCTAAAGTTTGGAATCAAGTCAGAAGTATTGAGAATACCAATTATCTTTGCGAGACACTCTGGTACTATTTACATACTAAAAGTACAAAATTTCAGAAAATTAATGTGAGGTATCCTATGAGAATAAATTAGGGCAAAACTGGTTTATATCAAAACATGTATTAATATTGGAATCTAGCCAAATATATGGCATATTGAGTTCGAGGAATAAACATATCGGTCGACTCCTTCGCAATATTTGTCTCATAATTAAGTAAGCAAAAATTTTTGTATGTTTGAAATTTGAAAGGAGTTGGATGCTTATTTCGATTTTTATGAGCGTTTTGTTTTTCAAAATCTTAAACCCCATATGGGGGAGGTACCAGAAGCAATGGTCCGGTCTCTACCATCCATATAACAAATCTTGCGTTGATAGAAATATTGAGATGTACCAAGTCTAAATGAAATCGGATGTTTATTTCGCGTTTTATTAGCTTCAAGGATATTGAAATTTTTTACCCTTTGTGGGGGAGGTAACACAAGGAGTGGTCCGATATATTCCATCTTCACACTAGACCTTGGGTTAATATAAATATTGAAATGCGTGTAATTTAAAGACAATCGGTCTCTTTCATCACATTTTTTAAGAATTATAATTATTCAAAATTATGACCCTTCACCCGACCTGGCATTGATGCAAACATTAGGATATGCAAAATTTTGCCTTCGTGGGAGAGGTACTTGATGGAGTGGACCAATATTGTTCATTTTCGCACCTGACCTAGCCCTGATCGAAATATTAGGATTTGCAAAGTTGGAGAAAAATCGGATTATCCTTTCTTCTCTGTGCAGTAAAATATTTTTTTTTTTTTTGGAAAATTTGGACCTTTTGTGGGGAGGTGCCAATATTGCCAATCTTCGAACACGATCTAAGTTTGATGATAATAATACGATGCACCAAGTTTGGACCAAATCAGATACTCAAGAGTTATCGTGCGCGCCAGTCAGCAGACAGACGGACGGACATCGCTCCAAATGTCCTGAAACGGACTTGGTCCAATGAGACCAAGGGTCTAAAACCGTTACTTCGATGAGACACGTTTTGGCTGTATCAAATGATATATACCCTCAATAGCCATATGGGTGAGGGTATAATTATGTGTTAGGTAACATAGGATGAGGCAAAACCGAATGATACCTCTAACTTTTTTTTAATTTTCAAACAACCAAACTGTCTCCTTTGGAAAAAATCAAAATTTATAGATTTATTCGATACCACTTGCTTATATTTGTGTAAACATCCACCTCAAATGACAGAGACGTAAATGACCAAAATGGCTAGGATTTTTATGCCGAAGGGTCCTGATTTGCAGTGAAAGTTATAAAATAAAAAGTAAACAAAGGCAGGACCATATAAAATCGATTGTTACAAAATGTTTTATTTCAATATCACGACTTTAATCCTAACATTTTCAAAGTGTAAGTTTAAAAACAATTTCAAATTACATTAATTTTGATTGGGATGAACTTCTTAGAAAACTACACCCTTATTGAGTTTTTTTAGGGAGTAAATCGAAAATTTTCTAAAATCAGCACCTATATTGATTATTTTTAGGAGATGTTAAACTACCCACTGAGAATCCGAAAAGACACATTCCGTTGTATTTTGTGATTTAAACAGATGAAAAGACGGAAGACATTTTACGCTGATCATAAATATATATACTTTATTGTGTATCCAACGAATATTTTCGGAATAAATTGTATACCCTTCATTTAATTGTGAGGAATTTAATTATATTTTATTATATTATACCCTCCACCATACTATGGAGGGTATATTAATTTTGTCATTCCGTTTGTAACTCCTCGAAATATTCATGTCAGACCCAACAAAGTATATATATTCTTGATCAGCGTAAAATTCTAAGACGCCATGTCCGTCTGTCTGTCTGTGTGTCTGTCTGTCTGT